CCAGTGTTTCACCACCCTCCTAGTGAAAAAGTTTTTCCTAATATCCAACCTAAACCTCCCCCACTGCAACTTGAGACCGTTACTCCTCATTCTGTCATCTGCTACTACTGAGAACAGTCTAGATCCATCCTCTTTGGAACCCCCTTTTAGGTAGTTGAAAGCAGCTATCAGATGTAATTAGAATGCAACCATCAATGGCTGATAGTGAAAGCATATGAACCAAATAAAATTTTAAGCAACTGCATTGTATGGTTGAAAAGAAGATCTAATAACTTTTAGTGCATTTTCTTAGGGGGAAAATTACCAATGTTCCGAATTTATACTGTTGCTTATGAAGATTCACCTTGTCAGGCCTCAGCAAACCTAGTTTTACTTGCACGGAGGCAACGTCAGAGACAAGTAATTTAATTTACATTGGGAAAGTGCAGACTGAACTAACTTATTTAGTAGCACGAAGGCCAAACTGTCCACAGTCACAGATTTCACTTGCCAACAGGCAAGCAGCATACGAAAATATTTCACTTAGTTATTACACATTGTGATTTGTCTCATGTATAACGTGTCAGAAAATAAAGTAACTTATTTCTAGTTTTTTTTATTTCTTTAACATGCCTGAAACACTGATTGTATATGTCAAACAATATTCTGTAGAAACCTGTTCCATATAGATATCAGTTGTGCCACATCAAGGGAAAGGAAAATGAGAGTTGATTACAATATGAAGTGTTTGTGAAAGATTTGTCTTTCTGAATGAAGTAATACTGCATGTGGAAACTTACAAGCATGGAAAACGATTTAAAAGCTATTAATTAAAGGAAAGTTCTTTCCTGAAAAACAGAAGCGGATTTCATAGCATTAACTGCAAGCCTATTGAGAGAGATTTTAGAAAAAAAAGTTCATAAAAATAAAATTCTATCAGTACTAAGCACATAGCACACATGTTCAAGATGTTGTTACTGAACCTATTTGCTCTATGTGTTGCAGAAAATCTCTCTTTGTGCATACTGACAAAGACAACTTTTTACTGTTATCAGTATTGGAGAATCCAGACAGCATTAGAAGAGTTAGCTACATTCTAGACTACCTCATGTATGAACAATACAAATGTGTAAGCTCATATTTAAGAAAATATTGTTTATGGTAACTGAGGAAGTAGGAAGCCAAGAAGAGCTGCACACCACAATAACTTGACATTGAGTCTGTTGGCAGTCAAGCTTACAAGTCAGCACAAGACTCTTAACAGATTTGATAATGGAAGCTACTGGGGAAGAATGGCACACGCCATTTTTATAGTTATTTCTGTGATCTTAACTGCACTTGAAACAACCAATGAAATTTTAAGGTTTTTTCCTGTGTATGTCAGGTTGTTTTTGTTTGTTTGTTTTTTTAAAGATGCATGTTAATAGTTTTCACTTTTCTGGGGTGGGAAGGAAGGTATAGGAGCAAAATAAAGCCTCCTTCTTACTCACAGAACCCCTGAGAACAACTAACAGGCACATGGAAAGACAACCACATGCCTGAGCTACGTTTACCTTCTCCCCACAGTGCCCAGGTATGTGCAAGATAAATCTAGAACATTTCTTTTATTCATGTACTAACCACCAACCTACTGGACTTTGACAACAGTAATGAAAATCAAGTACAATACCATAAGAACCATCTGTAACTCTAGTTTTAGGTTGTCTGATAAGTAACAAAAATCTGGTATATAATTTTTAGCATTATTCTAAAAAAGAGTGATGTAGTCTCTTCCCCTACCACCTTCGACGTGTTAAAATGAAGTTTCAATCAGATATTCCTGTCTATATTTTTACCCCAAGCTGTAGTCTCTGTACAGCCATACAAAGACCTACAGGTGAGGGGTTTCTCACCTGTTTAGTCTCGTCCTCAGCTAAGCCATGAGCCAAGTGGGCGCTGAAAGTGCTCTTGCCGACTCCTCCTTTCCCAGACAAAACTAGGATTTTGTGCTTCACAATTTTCATTTTCTCCTTTATTTCTTCTATAGCTGCAAAGTCAAAGGCGTTCCGAAGAGTTTGCGCCACGAGCATAAGGGACAGCACACCAGGAACCCTCAGACTCAGCCTAGGCCCCCCGCCACCTGAAAGGGCTGCGGGCCAGTTTCGATTCTTCTCCCCATTCACCACCCGCTGTTGCCTCCCCATGCACCCCACTCCTTCCCCCTCCCCTGAGAGACATGCTCAATGCGCTCCCCAGACACCACCAATAGCCACCCCTCCCCTCCACTCCCCATGCACCCCACCCCCCTCCTCCCCCAAGAGACACGCTCCATGCTCTCCCCAGAACCACCCAATAGCTACCCCTCCCCCATTGACCCCACCCCCCTCTTCCCCCAAGAGACACGCTCAATGCGCTCCCCAGACCCCCCCCCAATAGCTACCCCTCCCCCAAGAGACACGCTCAACTCGCTCCCCAGACATCCCAATAGCTACCCCTCCCCTCCTCTCCCCATGCACCCCACCCCCCTCCTCCCCAAGGGATATGCTCAATGCGCTCCCCAGACACCCCCAATAGCTACGCCTCCCCTCCTCTCCCCATGCACCCCACCCCCCTCCTCCCCCAAGAGACACGCTCAATGCGCTCCCCAGACACCCGCAATAGCTACCCCTCCCCTCCTCTCCCCATGCACCCCACCCCCTCCTCCCCCAACAGACACGCTCAATGTGCTCCCCAGACCCCCCCCAATAGCTACCCCTCCCCCCATTCACCCCACCCCCTCCTCCCCAAGAGACACGCTCAATGCACTCCCCAGAGACCCCCAATAGCTACCCCTCCCCTCCTCTCCCCATGCACCCCACCCCCTCCTCCCCAAGACACACGCTCAATGCGCTCCCCGGAGACCCCCAATAGCTACCCCTCCCCCTCCTCTCCCCATTCACCCCACCCCCTCCTCCCCCAAGAGACACGCTCCACGCGCTCCCCAACACCCCCAATAGCTACCCCTCCCCTCCTCCCCCCATTCACCCCACCCCCTCCCCCCCAAGAGACACGCTCAATGCGCTCCCCAGACACCCCCCATAGTAACCCCTCCCCTCCTCTCCCCATTCACCCCACCCCCCTCCTCCCCCAAGAGACACGCTCAATGCGCTCCCCAGAACCACCCAATAGCTACCCCTCCCCCATTGACCCCACCCCCTCCTCCCCCAAGAGACACGCTCAATGCACTCCCCAGACCCCCCCGATAGCTACCCCTCCCCTCCTCTCCCCATTCACCCCACCCCCTCCTCCCGCAAGAGACACGATCAATGCGCTCCCCAGACCCCCCCCAATAGCTACCCCTCCCCTCCTCCCCCCATTCACCCCACCCCCCTCCTCCCCCAAGAGACATGCTCAATGCGCTCCCCAGACACCCCCAATAGCTACCCCTCCCCTCCCCCCATGCACCCCACCCCCTCCTCCCCCCAGAGACACGCTCAATGCGCTCCCCAGAGACCCCCAATAGCTACCCCTCCTCTCCTCTTCCCATTCACCCCACCCCCCTCCTCCCCCAAGAGACACGCTCAATGCGCTCCCCAGACACCCCCAATAGCTACCCCTCCCCTCCTCCCCCCATTCACCCCACCCCCTCCTCCCCAAGAGACACGCTCAATGCGCTCCCCAGACACCCCCAATAGCTACCCCTCCCCTCCTCCCCCCATTCACCCCACCCCCCTCCTCCCCCAAGAGACACGCTCAATGCGCTCCCCAGACACCCCCAATAGCTACCCCCTCCCCTCCTCTCCCCATGCACCCCACCCCCTCCTCCCCCCCTCCCCCCTCCCCCAGAGACACGCTCCACGCGCTCCCCGGACACCCCCAATAGTTACCCCTCCCCCCCCCCCCTCCCTCCCCTCCCCATGCACCCCACCCCCTCCTCCCCCAAGAGACACGCTCAATGCGCTCCCCAGACACCCCCAATAGCTACCCCCTCCCCTCCTCCCCCCCCATTCACCCCACCCCCCTCCTCCCCCAAGAGACACGCTCAATGCGCTCCCCAGACACCCCCAATAGCTACCCCTCCCCTCCTCCCCCCATTCACCCCACCCCCCCTCCTCCCCCAAGAGACACGCTCAATGTGCTCCCCAGACCCCCCCAATAGCTACCCCTCCCCCATTCACCCCACCCCCCCCCTCCTCCCCAAGAGACACGCTCAATGCGCTCCCCAGACACCCCCAATAGCTACCCCTCCCCTCCTCCCCCATGCGCCCCACCCCCTCCTCCCCCCAGAGACACGCTCCACGCGCTCCCCGGACCCCCCAAAACACCCACCCCCCTCCCCCCCCCCCCCCCCTCCTCCCCCAGCCCCGCCCCCCCCCCCCCCCCCCCGGACCCCCGCGCGGCTCACCGGGGTCCGAGGCGGCGGGGCCGGCGGCGGCGCACAGCCGCTGGTTGGGGCAGCCCTGGCAGGCGGCGGCTTTGCCGGCTTGGACGCTGCTGGTGCCGGGGCAGCCTGCAAGGGAAGGCGAGAGAGCGGGCGGGGGCCCGGGTCAGGGGAGCCGAGACGCCGCCGCCGAGACACCCCCCCGCCGGCCGGCGCGCCCAGCTCCCCTCACCGTGCGGCAGCGGCGCGGCCCCGGGCTCGGCCTCCGCCATCGCGCAGCCGCCGCCGCCGCGCCGCTTCCGGGGTGGGGGCGGGGGCGCCTCGCGGGGACCGTTGTGACGTCGCCGATCCGCCAGAGAACGTGCGGCTGGAGGGTCGCGCGACGTTCCCGTGTCACGTGGTTGGGCCGCTGCTGGCCGGGGAGCCGCCCCCTGCTGGCCTGTGCTGCTCCCCGGGGCCTCCTGCTCGCTGTCGGGGGGGCTGACGTCAGCGTGTCCCCCTCCCCCACTCCCGTACCGGGAAGCGACTGCTGTCTCAACTGGCTGACCTACTGAAAAGGGCAAGTCCTGAGTGTGGGGCCCTCGTCCTTAAAGAGGCAATGCTCGTCTCTCTCTCTCTGACACCCACGGGGGGGGGGGGTTTGTGTGTCTCTCTCATGCACACACAGTGTGTCTTTGTCACTCTCACAGTGGGTGTCACTCATGTACACACAGAGTGTGTCTTTGTCACTCTCACAGTGGGTGTCACTCATGCACACACAGAGTGTGTCTTTGTCACTCTCACAGTGGGTGTCACTCATGCACACACAGAGTGTGTCTTTGTCACTCTCACAGTGGGTGTCACTCATGCACACACAATATGTGTCTTTGTCACTCTCACAGTGGGTGTCACTCATGCACACACAGAGTGTGTCTTTGTCACTCTCACAGTGGGTGTCACTCATGCACACACACACACACACACACACACACGAGTGTGTCTTTGTCACACACACGGCGTGTGTCTCACACACACGTTGCCGGCACAGAGTGCCCGAGGCAAGCCACAGTTGGGTTTGTTGTGTGTCTCTGCCAGGCTGCGTCTCCTCCCTCCATGGGTGCCGCCTTGTAGAGTGGGGGGCTACATTAACAACGCCGTGTTCACCCCCGAGGGCTCAGCCCAGCACTAGTTCATCATTTAGCAGCGAGGCATCGGGGAAGTAGCCCACCCCCTCCCTCCACCACCCCAACCAAGCGAAAAAAATGTCCCTGGAGCCTAACACCATCCCCCCACCCCCCATTTACATTAACTCTTTTGGGGAAATTGGATTCACTTAACATCATTTTGCTTAACGTAGCATGTTTCAGGAATGTAACTACCACGTTGAGGGAGGAATTACTGTACAGTTCTGCTGCCCTCGATTCACACAACAAGGTTAACAACCCTTTATTACTCCTGCCCCAACAAGAGGGAAACTGGGGATCCAACACCAGCCAAAAGTGATCATTTGGGCAAGCAGTCCCATCACGCTGAGCACCTAGGCAGGGTGGCTGTGAGATCAGCTCCTGAAATCCTCTTCCACAGCTCATCAAGATGCCAGGGGAGGACTCATTCAGACTCCGCTTTCGTATGCAAGGCCTAGCTCTGAATACTTGCTGCAGCTGTGGTTTGATTCTGGTGGCTTCCAATAAAACACAGGGAATGCTCCTAGAGCAGCAGTTCTCAACAGGGGGGCTGTGGGGCCCTGCAGCTAAAACCCAGAGCCCAAGCCCCAACACTTCCCATGGGGCTGAAGCCAGGAGCTGGGGTGTTGAAGCCCCTATCCTCAGCACCCCCCACGGGGCTAAAGCCAGGAACAGCTGGCTGAATTCCAGAGCCCCGAGCCCCAGTACTCCCCACAGGGCAGAAGCTGATAGCCCATGGGCAGAGTTGGGGGGCACAGGGGGCATTGCTCCCCCCCAATCTACAGGGCAAGAGCAGGGCAGTCTTGGGGCAGCTCCACCCCCCGCACCTCCTTCTCTCCCCACCCCCTGGCCAGGTCGGAGGCAGGAAGCCAGAGGGGGGGTTCCCTGGTCTTCTGCTGCTGTAGGGGGTTGAAGCTGTTCCATAGCTCCCAGCCCCCCCTTTAGAGCTACCTGGACGGGGGACCCAGGTCCGTGGCTGGCAGAGCCCTCAAGGAAACAGGGACTGCAGAGGAGCCCTCCTGGCACACAGCCCCTGCCTGCACACAGACCCAGCTACCCCACCCACACACAGCCCCTACCCACTCCCTCCCTGCACCCTGAGCTACCTCCTGCCCACACAAAGCCCCTAGCTACCCCTCCCTGCCCCCTGAGCTGTTTTCAAACTTTTTGAGCTGAGCCCCCCACCTTTGAGTTATAATTTTTGGTTGCACCCCCACACACACACCTTTGTTTGGCTGTTTGTGTTTTTCTTTTTCTTTCAGGTTATTTCAGTTACAGGGTCAAATTTGCAAAAAGAAAAGGAGTACTTGTGGCACCTTAGAGACTAACCAATTTATTTGAGCATGAGCTTTCGTGAGCTAAGGTGCCACAAGTATTCCTTTTCTAATTGGGATTGTATGTTTGGGGACAGTTTGAGCCCTTGTTCCCTTGATCAGCCTCGTGCTCACCCTCCCCCTGTGCGATTAACAAGGGGGTAGGGCTGACCTAGGAGGGAAGGCCTTAAACGCCAGAGGCTAAGCAACCCGTGGGAGCTAGCAAGCAGGGGAGTTTGAGAGAGGGAGTTTTGGCAGGAGGGAGTCGTAACATTACCGTGATGGTTAGGAAGGGCCCCGTCTCCTCCACCTGCGCCCAGGGCCAGTGCAACCACTAGGCAACTAGGCAGCCGCCTAGGGTACCAACTTATTGGGGGCAGCCAAAAGCGCGCTCTGGGGAGGTGGTGGAGCGGAGGTGAGCTGGGGCAGGGGGGCACGGAGAGGGCCGCCTGGAGCAAGTAGCAGGGGGGGACAGCGCACAAGGGAACCATTCCCCAGCTCACCTCTGCTCTGCTTCTCTCCCTCCCAGGCTTGCGGCGCCAAACAGCTGATTGGCGCCGCAAGCCTGGGAGGCGGGAGAGGTGGGGCGGCAGCGGCGTGCTCGGGGAGGAGGCGGAGTAGAGATGAGCTGGGGTGGGGAGCTGGCGTACGGCTCCCCAGGCTGGGGGGGGTTGGGAAGCTGCCGGGGGGCACGTCTCAGGATGGAGGGGGGGGGCAGGGAGCTGCCGCAGGGCTCCCCAGGGGGGAAGGGGGCACGAGGTGGAAGTTTCACCTAGGGCACGAAACATCCTTGCACCGGCCCTGCCTGCAGCTGTATCCAAACAGAGACCCTAACCATGGATGCCTCTGCCCAGATGCTGGTGTGGGTTTGCAGAGACTGTGGCCTGCATTTCCCACTCACGGGAAGCTAGAGTGGGGGGGGACCATCCAGTGTGAAAGGTACCTGCTGGTGAAATCTCTCAGAAAGCAGGTGGGAGAGCTACAGGAGGAGGTGGCTAGGCTGAGGAGCATCCGTACCTACGAGGAATTCCTTGAGAGTATTCATGTGGAGACATCCAAGGCTGAGGACACTATCCAGCTAGAGAGGATGGCTGTCATACCACCAGAGGAGGAGGACATGGCTCTGTCACAGGGAGGACACTGGCTGCTGGTTACTTCTGGCAGCAGGCAGTGCTCCCCCCCTACTCCCTACCCACCCACCATGGTGACGGAGAATAGTTATGCTGCCTTGGCAACGAGTGAGGAATCACCCCCAAAGGTTGAAGAGTAGAAGCCATGTACCCCCAAGGCTGGGAGGATCACAGCCACCACTCCCAGGAGGGAACATAGGGTAGTGGTCGTTGGAGACTCTCTCTGAGGGGGACGGAGGCACCCATCTGTCGCCCTGACATGGCATCCCGGGAAGTATGCTGCCAGTCAGGGGCCCATATCCGAGATGTGAGGGATTGTCGAGGATCATCCGGCCGACTGACTACTACCCCATGCTACTCATCCATGTGGGCTACTCGTCCAAGGGTGAGGGAGTTGGGAGCACAGGTACTGGTCTCTTCAGTCCTTCCAGTCAAGGCGAGGGGCCTCGGCAGAGACAGAAGCATCCTGGAGGTGAATGCCTGGCTGCGAGGATGGTGTTGCCAGGAGGAGGGCTTCGGCTTCGGCTCCCTTGACCACAGGATGCTGTTCCAGGAAGCAGGTTTCAGAGGAACAGCCGTGTTAGTCTGTATTCGCAAAAAGAAAAGGAGTACTTGTGGCACCTTAGAGACTAACCAATTTATTTGAGCATGAGCTTTCGTGAGCTACAGCTCACTTCAGAAGGATGCTAAACAGAGATGGGAGCCACCTACACAGGAAGGGGAAGAGCATATCTGCCCTAACAGTTCATCTGCATTGGTGGTTCAGTGGTAGAATTCTCGCCTGCCACGCGGGAGGCCCGGGTTCGATTCCCGGCCAATGCAACAATGGATTTTTTGGCTCTGTGATGCAACTGATCACAAACTAGCAACATGTCTGCACGCAGAGGTCAGGAGTCCTGAGCAACGTTTCAGTCCAGTGCTGAGTCTTGGGTGCTCCTGGTCGTCTTCGGTGCCAGTGAACTTTCCCCAACAAACCCCTTCGGTGCCCTCCTCCGCCGCTCTCTGCAAAGCTACACAGAGCGACAGCCTCCCCACTTCACTAACTAGCAGCCTTCCTCCTTATTCCCAATGCAGAGTCACAAGCCCCAGTACTCACGGCCCCGTGCAGCTCTGGGCTGCAGTGGTACTGGGTCCAGCTCCGGCCTGTCCTCCTCAGGCGATTCCCCCCCGGCACAGTGCTCCTCCTGGCTCACCCTGTCCTTCCCCGGCTTCAGGCAGGTTCTCTCTCCTTCACTTTGTCCAGGGCCTCCCTGCTGCAGCCCTTCTTCCCCGCTCGCCCCAGAGCCACACCAAGTTTCCCTCCTTTCTCTCACTGCTCCCCCTCCCCAGTAGGAAAAAGATTTAAAGGGGCCATGCCCTCTAAACCCCAAGGGGTTACATGTACATGCAGTGCTACTGTTCCAGTCCGGGGCTCTGCCGATGCCCCTCGAGCATTCCCGGTGAGGGAATGCAGTTTTACTTTGGTGCAGAAACCGAAAAGGCCTTGAGAGTCTAACCTGGGCCTTGGAGCCCTGCAGGCCGAGCATCCTGCTTTCACAGGGAGCCTAATAGACTCTGAGTCACCTTGTTCCTCAGGATTAGACTGCCTGCTGGAAACCCGGATGAGATGAGCCCTTGGATTTTCACTTTGGGGTCTGAGTTTCTTCTCTCCCCTGGTGATTGCTTTGCAGGACGGGTCTGAGCAAGCGCAATCGAACCTCCGATTCCTTTCCATCCTGAAAGAGCCGTTCCAGGAGCTGTCCACACTGCGGCCCAGAGACATCCCTAACAAGCTTCCCCACCTCATCAGCCTGGTCCGCATCATATGGGTCAACTCCCTGTTGGGGACACTGGGGCATGGCCACTAGGTAACTCGAGGGGATGGAAGACCACGAGTGTCGATGAAGCCCCCTTGCACTAGGCCCCGGTGTCCTTGGCCCCCCCTCCTGCCTGGAGGCACTCGCAGCAGCTCTGCGTACTCGGCCCAAGTGTCCTTGGCCCCCCCCGCCTGGAGGCACACACAGCAGTTATGCTGAGAATCTGCAACAGTATGTTGCAGAGTCAGACTGCCTGAAACTAAGCAAGGCCAAACAGGGGAGATATGGAAGAACAATGCTGAATAAAGCAGATTTATGTAGAGTTTAACAAATGATACAGAGAATCAGGGAACTAGCTGGGAACTGGATTGGCTGGCTATATGAATACTTGGGGCAGCTTGCTATTGGATAAGTATGCTAGGAAAAAGGATGTATAAAAGCCTGTGTAACTTCCTGCTCTGTTGTGCAGGATTTGAGATTTTATTCTCCCTGTACCTTTTTGCAGCTGCAAATAAACTTTTCTGCTTCTCCACCCCGTTGTGATTATTGGGTGTAGCACACTGGGTAACGAACCACTCAAGCTGTTGTTCAGCCTCTCGGCACTGGGTGCCGGCAACATCCCCATATTACAATACCAGAGAGAGAATCACAGCCCTCTTCCGAAAGGTGGGGGGCTAGTGGGTCAGAGCAAGGGGGGCGCTGGGAGCCAGGACTCCCGGTTCTATTCCTAGCTCTGAGAGGGTCTACTTGGTTAGAGCAGGGATGCGATATAGCTCACCTTGGTACCTTTGCCCAGACTGTCAAAAGGTGGGCCAGAGACATACAGCCCACTAGGGACAAACTGAAACACGCTCGGTGGCTGGTAGATGGGAATGAGTGGAACTAGTGAGCCGGATGGGAAAGGCCCTGTGTCCCAGTCCCCTAAAGCAGCCACTCCCTTCTGCCTGGCTCCAGCCTCCCTTCCCTGATTCTCCTGAGCTGTAAAAACCGTAATCTATCATTATGATTAGGGATGTCAGGTTTAAGTGGGTGCCTGGTCCTTGAAAATTAAGTCTAAATGTTACTTGTCTGCTTCAGATTCAGATTTGTAGAGCTGGATCAATATTTTATAAGACAAAGACATTAACGCGCAAGCCAGGCAAATACAGCTGAGTGAGGATTATGTACTTGAGCTTTGCTCTCAGGGTCTGTGATCTCCCCAGAGCTCCTGGATAGGATAATCCCCCCGTGTCTTCCTACAGCCCTGTCTCCCTGTCAGTGGGAAGAGATTCTGGGGCATCTCAAAGACTGTGAGCTCTTCCAGCCTTTCCTGGGGCTCTCTTGGGAGAGGGAACAGAGAGACGGTCTGCAGGCTTGATGTGCCCTTTGGGGGCTGATCCTCAATTCAAATAACGTGCATTTGTGAAATCCTATCCTGGGATTCATGTCCGAGACCCCAGAACCTGAGGTCTGTGAGCAAGGAATCTCTGGGTGACGTTCCTATCCCTTGTGCCAGCAGGGCACTGCCTTCTGTCCCCAGAGCGGTGCTCTACCTTTTCTGCAAGGCCTGGACGATAAACATGCGGCTGACTCTGCGAAGCAATGGAGCTAACATGCCCACCTAGGAGAGTCTACTCCCCAACTCGGTGCCTGCCTCTGAGGCGGCTGTTGGGCACAACAAACATTTTCTCCTTCCGCACTTCTAACAGGCTCTCCGGGAAAGGCTGGGTCCTGGACCAGACTAGCATCTTTGCCCAAGTGGATGCCTTTGTTCAGCGCTGCAAAGACCTCCTGGAGGTACGTGGAAGTGGCACGTGATTCCCCCTTCGCAGTGACAGGACTAGGACATGGCCTGGCATTTCCCTGCGGGATGATACTCTCACTGCAGCATTGGCACCCTGGCATCGTTGTGAGAGGAGGCTGCATCTCAGCCTCACAATTATTGGTGTTCATTTACTTCGAGCCAACGGCTGCTCTCAGGTGCACCAGGACAAATCCATCTGTTTCCACGACAGAGCAGTTTGGTGCTCAGCGTTTTGTACCGTGCCTGAGACAAGTAGCAGGTGCTGTGTAGTGATCGTTAACAGCTCAGTGCCTGGCATCAAACACTCCCCACACCGAAAGCACAGTAGCGTTCAGCCCAGTGTGCTGTGGGGAGCTGCGCGGGCGGTACACTGCCCTATGTGACAGTGGGGAGCCCCACCAAGGAGGTAGACAGCCCTGGGTGGTGGTGGGAACGCAGCCTTCTGCATCAGCTGATCGTCCCTGCCGCTTCAGGTAGATTTCGTTACAGTGCCCCATTCTGGCGGCGATGTGTGGAGAACTGGCAGATGCTCCTTCCCCGCAACGCATGCAACGTCGTCACATCATGCCATGCTGCCCTGCGTGGGTTGTTGTGAGCTGTGGAAGGGCTGCTCCCAGACTGGTTAGCTGGGCAGTACGGGGGTGTTGACAGCCCCCAGGTTATGTCAACGAGTGCATCCCCCAGATGAAGTGGGGAGACCAGCCCCTGGATGGGCAGTGGGTTGCTGGTGCAGCTGCTGCATTGCATGGGCTCAGCTGGCCTCTTTCCTCCCCTAGGCCATCAAGCGCACCTTTGACAAGAAAGCCGTGGATGTCTACATGCTGTTCAACAGAGAGCTCGCCCTGGTCAACAAAGAGCTGAGCAAGAAGCTGCCATTCCTGCCGGCACACATGTGCCATTATGCGGGCCTGGCGCACTGGCTGCGGGCTCTGCACCGGCGCATCGACAGACCCCTAAAGGTGAGTATCCCACATCCATGGCAAGACCCTGTTCCAGCGTCCATCTCTCCCTGTCTCATGCCGCCATGTCAGGGGCCCTTTCTATCTCTGTCGAATGGGACAGAGCTCTCCTTGGGGGCCTGTTAGCACTGCCCCATAGTCAGCTGCAGAGTGGCTCTTGGAGAGACATAAGAAAGCTCCTTCACCCCAAAGTCTGCCTGTCAGAGAGAGAGGGCAGGACTGACAACCCAGCCGACTCCTGGGCACTAGTTAGACCAATGTACCCATCTCGCCCAGTAGCCCTGCCTTCCTGATGCATCGGGTCAGATCACTGGTCCTTGTAGTGTGGTATCCCTGCCTTCACGCAGCACCGACCCAGACAAATGGTTCATCTCGTCGGATATCTCTGCCTCCGACAGGGGCCAACACCTACTGCTTCCAGGAGTAACATGCCACCCCGTTTCAGGCCAGCACTATCCTGTGTTGCTTGGGGGAGTGCGTGTGTGGGCACAGACACATGTATGTTTGAAGCCATTCTGACGCTCCGCCGGGGACCCCCTTCCTCCCGGTATCTTGAAGACTTGGAATTTCTGCCCAAGCAATTGTCGTGGCAGATGTTGTTTTTATTCATCTAACTACCTCATCTGTTTTTGACTCTTTGCCTCAATAACATTCTCTGTCAGTGAGTTCCTTTGACAGGTTTAATTCTACGTTGTGTAACAACAAAACAGCATTTCCAGCATCAATCACAAAACTTCCAGTATGTGCAGGCTTGCAACTGCCAAATCTAGGTCTGAAAATCACCTCTGCCTTTCCTACCTGCCCAGCCCAGGGCTCGGCATTCTGGGGCTCACCTCTCTTCTGTCTGGCAAACACCTCATGGCTCATGTCTCTCTGTCCTGCATTAGGGGTTAGTCATACAATCACGGGCTGCACCAGCCCCAGCACGTCGCTCTGGTGGGTACGCAGGAACTGATTGTAGAAATACCTCCTGCTCCTATTTCTCATTTTGAAGGATCTCAAAGCACTTTACAAGCTATAGACTTGCAATGATCGCTTAACACACCATGGAAAGGCAGTTTCCCCTGGGGTGGAGCATTGCAGGAGTTTGCCAGCCACACACCAGTGTTGCACAGGGGTAGCTAACCCAGCACTGACATGCAGCTGCCCCTGGCGTGGGACACAACCGCTGTTCAACAGTATTGCTGCTCAGCAGTTTAAAACAGGACGCAAAGGAGAAGCCCTTGGCCGGCTGAAATTACAGTAGGAGTCACCGAGGATGGCATTTGGCCAGGACATCACTTTTCTACCCAGTGCCCTCTACATATTCCCGCTTCTGTGCTGGGCTCTGTACAGAGTTGGAACTCCCTAGCGAGTAGAGACGGCTGGGGCCTCAAGAACGCTTTCTTGGGGCATCTCAATTGGGCCTGTAGTTATATAGGGGTCACGCAGCCTCCACCTTCCTCAGTTTCTTCTGTTACCCCTTGAGAGTCCAGTGATGTAGAGGGGAACAAGTAGGGCGAGAGGAGGTGGGCGGGGAGCTTGAGTAGGGAGAACTCCAGGGTCACAACTCTCATTTTGCATCCCCTCTGAAAGAGGGCACCTCCAGCGCAGCTCTGACTCAGCCCTGCTGCTCACCCGTCAATTGCTTTTGGTTGCCCTAAGGTTGTTTGTGCACGTGTTGGTTTCTTTATCGCGCTGGTCTGAAAGAGCTGAATGTCCAGTGTGAATTTTATCTTCGGATTTCACTTGTTCTCCAAGCAGTCAGCTAATGACCTAGCCATGTTTGGGGAGTGCAGGGCTGGGACAGCAAGGGGCTGTGAGTGGGGACTGAGGGGCATCAGCAGAGGTAGGGGTGTGTGTGTGAGTGTGTGTGTGTAGTCCAGAGTTGCAATAGCCAGGGGGTGGGGAGGAGACCCTGCTGCATGTACCTATCAAGGGCCCAATCCATGGAGCCAGACTGATTGCACCAGCATGTGCCACACCCATCCCTTTTACAGACCGAGCATGGCCACGTCTCTGCGCCTTGCTTTGTCGACCTGTTTTCCCAGCCTCGTATCCTTTTTGGGGACTCACCGTTGACCTGTCTGGAGACAGGCCCGTTCTGTGGGTTGGTGGGAGGAATGCACTGCATAGATCTGAATTGCTGACGGGGCTGGAAGCCTGACTCATCTCGCCCTCCTTGCCCCCTTAGGATCATTGCTATGCTGTCCCCAGAGGAGAGGGCCTTGTTCAAGGAGTGGATCCGATACCTGGACAGGAAGATCCAGCCCGGCTTGAAGAAGCTGCACTGGTCTCTGAAAGGGGCCAGTGCTACCTTCATCAATGAGTGCTGACTGCACGCGAGCAAGGTGAGCTTTCCTCTGACCTCCGTGGCCCCCATGCCCGACTAGCTGGCCCCAAGGCTCCATCCTTCCTCCACAGAGATCTCAATTAACAGATGGTTAAGGGGTCTCCAGCTGCCGGCATCCCATTGATCTGTACTCTGCTCAGTCTGCCTAGGCTTGGGTGTAGTGGGAGAAAGTCTGAACATGGGTGTTCTCTGCTTAATACGCGTCTCTGGAGGTAGGGAGCAGAGAACCCAGCCTGGCAGACAACACCCCCCGGTTAGGGAGTGAGGAAGAGGTAGAGACAGGGAACCCTCTCTGCCCCCAGGATCCAGGTGGGGAGCAAAGGGAGAGCCTCCCACCCCTCAGCCTCATGCCTGCCTCGCCCAGGTGGAGCCGTAGCTGGTCAGTTTCACCTCGGTCAAACCCTGGGGCCCTAAGGTGCCTGATCAGAGTGCTGCCTGCCCTGAGCCTGCCTTGCGGCCACTGGCCCTCAGGTGCAGACCATTGTGAACGAATACAAGGCAGCCACCCTGGCCATCGCTCGCAGTGCCCAGCAGATCAGCGAGGCACTGCTGGTGCGGATCACCGGCAAGCGGGTCTACAATGACTTGGAGTTTGAGGAGGACCAGAAGGAGCACCGTGCCTGGGTGCAGCAGAAGCTGATGGATATCCACGAGGAGGTCACCAGCATCATGCGGCAAACCTATGAAGTCTTCAAACACGATAGCGCCGAGGTAAGGCCAGGGCCGGGCCAGGCAGCTCCCAGCAGGCCGTGCTCTGTCCGCCTCCTGGAGCAGGTCCCAGCATGCAGTGCTTGGTTTTGATTCTGTCAGGAGACCTGTGTGTAAGGACCTGTGTTCTCAGAGACCTTCTTCTGCCACCTGCAACTTCTCCTTCTTCTCCAACAGCTGACCCTGCCCACCCACCTATCTACCTGACTCCATTCACTTGCCTCCCTCCCTCACCACCGCCTCCCCAGCAGCACTGAAGGGTCAGGGCCCAGGTCATAGAGGTATTCTGGGTTCTTTTTCTGCCTTTGAAGCGTCAGAGGTCGGCCACAGCCAGAGATGGGACACAGGGCTGGTGCTCTCTGGTGGTCCAGAGAATCCTCTCTCTAGCTGCCTGGCCAGTGGGTCTAACTCACCTGCTCAGTGCCCTACCGATCACCAGATTTGGGGTCAGGAAGGAATTCCCCCCCCAGGTCAGATTGGCAAGGACCTTGGCATTTTTAGCATCCTCTGCAGGATGGGGCATGGATTGCCTGCTGAGATCATCTGGGCATGCCTCACCTAGTCAGTTCCCAGTCGTCACAGGGGCTTTGGACATGGCTGGCTCGTCGGTCTTGCCCGTTTTCTCCCTGTAGGGCCCAACAGTTTAGTCTTACGAAGACTGAGGTACTTTAGTCTAACTCGGTATAAGGGCACTGGGTGAAATGTAGTGATCTGTGATATACAGCAGGCCCTTAGGGCTTAAATTCTGTGGCCCTCAGTTTCTTTCTGCAGCAAGCTGTGGGCATATGGCCTGTCATAAATATAAAGGGAAGGGTAAACCCCTTTAAAATCCCTCCTGGCCAGAGGAAAAATCCTCTCACCTGTAAAGGGTTAAGAAGCTAGGATAACCTTGCTGGCACCTGACCAAAATGACCAATGAGGAGACAAGATACTTTCAAAAGCTGGGGGGAGGAAAAAACAAAGAGTCTGTCTGTGTGATGCTTTTGCCGGGGACAGAACAGGAATGGAGTCTTAGAATTTAGTAAATAATCTAGCTAGATATGCATTAGATTATGATTTCTTTAAATGGCTGAGAAATTAAGCTGTGCTGAATAGAATGGATATTCCAGTCTGTGTGTCTTTTTGTAACTTATGGTTTTGCCGAGAGGGATTCTCTATGTTTTGAATCTAATTACCCTGTAAGGTATTTACCATCCTGATTTTACAGAGGTGATTCTGTTTTACTTTTTACTTGTATTAAAATCCTTCTTTGCAGAAACTGAATGCTTGTTCATTGTTCTTAAGATCCAAGGGTTTGGGTCTGTGGTCACCTATGCAAATTGGTGAGGATTTTTACCAAACCTTCCCCAGGAAGTGGGGTGCAAGGGTTGGAAGGATTTTGCGGGGGAAAGACGTTTCCAAACAATGCTTTCCTAATAAATAAACCCAGATAAACGTTTGGTGGTGGCAGTGGAAGTCCAAAGGCAAAGGGTAAAATAGTTTGTACCTTGGGGAAGTTTTAACCTAAGCTGGTAAAAGTAAGCTTAGGGGGTCTTTCATGCAGGTCCCCACATCTGTACCCTAGAGTTCAGAGTGGGGAAGGAACCTTGACACGGCCCCTCTGGGCATGAGGTGACATTAGATTAGGGAGGAGGAGGTTGAGTTGCCCAGCAAATTGTACCAGCATCTAGCTGCTCTATTTTACCCTGCCCCAGTGCCCCAGCATCTGGCACTACTTCCGACAACAAAGTAGGACATTCTCTGGTTGCTTCTACCCAAATGAGTGGCAGTGAAACAGTTAAATCTGGTGTCATTTAATTTAGCACTAGCCTTTGGTGCTAACCCCCACTGAGATGAATGGGAGCAGTTCCCACCTTTCCAAGGTGGACAGACCGAGGAGCTACTTGGGTCACGTAGCGAAGGTCACCTTTGCAGCCAGAAGGGCCAGTGGCCAGAGTCAGGAGCGCAATTCTGCAGCATTCACTGTCTTTTATCCTGGCTGCCCCTTGCTCTGGTGGCTCCTCCTTGTCTACACTGCCTTTCTCAGCTGGCTTGTCTCTCCCCTCAGGTGCAGCAGTACTGGATGGCCTACACCATCAAGATGAACAGAATGATGGAAGAGGCCTTCAGGCTCAATGTCAAATGGTCCCTACTGGAACTTTCCAAGGCCATCAATGGAGATGGCAAGACTACACCTAACCCCCTGTTCAGGGTCAAGGTAATCCTACAGAACAACTACCCAGCGCCATCTGCACAGGTGAGCCCTTCCACTACAGCTTCCAGTCCACTGCAGCCCTCAGACACCCAGCTGAGCCCTGCCCCAAGGTCCCAGCCAGGAATTAGCAGCATGTCGGGGAGGGGTTAAGGCAGGAATTGAAAATGGTTCTAGGTCTGGGGCTTGCTGTGTTCAGTCCTGAATTCGTGTCCCCGCCAAAGCACAGCTTGACCCAGGGCCGGGGAGAGAGTTCAGAGCTAATATTATGCATGCCATCAGGGTCAGAAATGAATGCTGGGAGGCTGGGATTCCCAGCTGCTCAGTCGTGCCAGGATAACACATTCACTTCAAGCCTTGTCCAGGACAAGATATTTGACCTCAAAATCACGGCTGTCTGATTACCTTCTTGCTTTTCTTTCTCCCTCAACGGGCAGCTGCGTGGGCTAATCCTACCCCCCCAGGACCCTGGGTAAATCCACAGGTGACAGCTGCCTGCGCTGTCATAGCTTCCCTGCTGTTGTTACCCGAGCTAGCTGGAGCGATCAAAGCTAACTCGGGTCTGTCTACACGTGCTGCAGTCAGACCTCTCCACTGAAGTGTAGACAGACCCTCAGAGCCGGGCAAGCTGACCTTAGTGCCAGAGCAGCACCAAGCAGCTGCAGAAGGGCTTCTGCTGCATAGGGGGTGGCCAGGGGAGAAGGGAGCATGGCCCGATCATCCCTGTGGCCTGTCCTAGCTCTTCCTGGCTGGCAGCACGGGCCCGTGATGCCTTTGACCACTACTGTGGCTTTGTTGAGTCTTGTGTTGGAAATATGAGTTGTCATTAATATAAAGGGAAGGGTAACCACCTTTCTGTATACAGTGCTATAAAATCCCTCCTGGCTAGAGGCAAAGTCCTTTTACCTGTAAAGGGTTGAGAAGCTCAGGTAACCTGGCTGGCACCTGACCCAAAATGACCAATGAGGGGACAAGATACTTTCAAATCTGGAGGGGGGGAAAGGCTTTTGTCTGTCTGTGTGATACCTTTGCCAGGAACAGATCAAGGATGCAAGCCCACCAACTCCTGTAAAGTTAGTAAGTAATCTAGCTAGAAAATGCATTAGGTTTTCTTTGTTTTGGCTTGTGAAATTCGCTGTGCTGGAGGAAATGTGTATTCCTGTTTTTGATCCCTGATTCTCTGTGTTTTGAATCTGACTGCCTGTAAGATTATCTTCCATTCTGATCTTACAGAGTTGTTCTCTCTTATCTTTTTTTTTTTGTTCTTCTAATAAAGTTCTGGGGTTTTTGGGTCTTAAAAATCCAAGGCTGGTTTGTGCTCATCTTGTTTATTCTCAAGCCTCCCCAGGATAGGGGGTGTAAGGGCTTGGGGGGATATTTTGGGGAAATAGGAACTCCAAGTGGTCCTTTCCCTATTCTTTGTCTAAATCACTTGGTGGTGGCAGCATACTGTTCAAGGACAAGGTGAAATTTCTGCCTTGGGAAAGTTTTTAACCTAAGGTGGTAAAAATAAGCTTAGGGGGTCTTTCATGAGGGTCCCCACATCTGTACCCCAGAGTTCAGAGTGGGGAGGGAATCCTGACATGAGCCAGTGCAGATCATCCCCAGGAACAAGAGACCCATAAAGGTGGCTTTAAGCCACCTTTGCCCTGGTCTTGCCCCAAGCAGAGCTGTTGGACTGGGGGATTTGGCCTGTAACCTCTAGCTGCTGTGTGTGGGAGCAAGGTGAGGAAGGGGGTAGCAAGATGAAAATCGGAATGGTGGGATTTTCAGGTCGAGGATCTTGCAGCCTGCTTTTGCAGATGTGGAAATGGAATAGATTTTCCAGCGCTCACCCCGTGGATCAGTTTGTGTTCGCTGAGCAGTTGTTGCCTCTCTTCTGGGTTGGGTTCCTCTCTCTACTGGACCTGCTGTTTTGTGTTTCCAGGTGGAGTTTCCCCAACTCTGGCCCAGCTCGCGAATATGGTCAATGACATCAGCAGCCACCTCATCACCAGCATCTCTGTCTTCTGCCACCTGCCGGAGATCCTGACCAAAGGCAGATTCCTCCACGATCCCATCTCGGTTCTCGTGGGTAAGGAGACCTCACCTGCACTCACATGCTCTCTGTGGGGGCCCTGCAGCTCAGTCTAAAGGAGTCTGCAGCTGCCTTGCCGAGTTGTGCATCCACACTGTCTTGTTCCCTGCAGCCCCACGTTCAGGCACTTCCTGGGTAGACCCGGGCTCCGAGTCTCGCCGCTCTGGGATTGAAAACCCAGTGTAGTGATACCCTCTGTGTTCAGACCACAATGAACTGGCTGCGGTAACTTGGCTGGATCCTTTCTCCCACCCTATCCCTGGAGGAGACGATTCCCCAGCCTGGTATTCAGCTGTCATTCCCCCTTAGCTCAGTTTCCTTGCACTAACACTGTGGCACTTGGTAGCTGGCTTAGCAGCTACTGCGAGTCACATGTTGAGTCTAGACAGACACTGCCTGAGTATAGCCTACATCTGTCATGGAATGAGTTCCTGCCTGTGTACACCCAACCCCCTAGAAGTCATTTCCCCTTTCTGTGCCTCAGTTTCCTCCCCTTCTAACATAGGGACAATATTTCCCAGGGGACTGGTGAGGCTTTGCAAAACCAGCATGGAAGAGAAGCAAGGGGATTGACTAGGACTGGCTGTTTGGGCATCGAAACAGCTGATCACCATTCTGTTTGTCCTCCCTCCACACTCAGAGCGTGATGAAGATATCAAGAAAATCCAGGCACTGATCAGTGGTGGCATGCAGGCAAACGCCATGCACCTCCAGGCATACCTGAAGACCTGGGATGTGTACCATGAGATCTGGGAGGTCAACAAGGACTCCTTCATTAACCGCTACCGGCACCTCAACCCACTCGTGTCTTCCTTCGATGCGGACACTGCTCGGTAAGGGAGGACCTGTGTCCATGGATGCTCGAATCCTGCAATGCCCTTCATTGAACAGACGGGTCTCTTGTACCAGTAAGGATGAGGGCCAAGACCCTTCAGATTCAGGGAAGTTCGCCCTCTTACCCTTCTGAAATGGACAGAGTTCACAAGCTAAGTCGGGCCCGGCCTGTTTAATATTGAATGTGAGACCCCAGGGAAAATCAGAGTCCTGCCGAGCAGGGTGGGTGGGTCGGTAGGGGGCCCCTTGAGGTGCCAGGGAGCAGTGTGGGTGGGTGGGTAGGTAGGGGGCGCTCTCCCCACAGACAGCACTGATCCCCGTGAGGTGCAGGGAGCAGTGTGGGTGGGTGGGTCGGTAGGGGGCCCGCCCTGTTTCTTCCCGCCCAACTCCTTTAGTATGAAGAGTCTCCGAGAGGGCTGTAGGAGGCAGAGTTGGGCGGGAAGCAACAGGGCGGGCGTGGGGACGTGGGGGAAGGAGTCGGGGCAGGGCCTGAGGCAGCGGGTAGTTGAAAGCAGCTATCATATCAGGTAGAAAGCAGCTAGCAATGTGGCTGACACAGCGCGGGCCTGATGCAGTTGCTGTGTCAGCCACATTGTGGCTGCTGAGTCCCTGTCACTCGCCGTGGCCCCATCTCCTGTGGCTCCTCCGTGAAGTGTCAGCCACGCCAGCTCCCCTCTGAGGCCTCCCCCGCCCAGGCCACAGGCCGGAAGGCAGAGCTGGACAGGGCGGATGGGGTGGTGCCAGGGGTGCTGGGATAAAGGTGGAGCAGGTGTCAATTTCAGAAAGAGGAGCGCATATCAGGATAACGTAACTTCCGGTCACTGTTCCCGGTTGGACTATAAAGGAGAGCTTACCAGGAAAACGTAACTTCCGTTTCCTGTTCCTGGTCACGCAGAGTCCATTGGCCGCCTGGGCTGTGCCCCCTCCGCCCTCATTGAGTCTGCAGCTCAAAGCCATTAGGGTTGTGTCCTGACCCTCTGCCACGGGACAGTCGTGCCTAGTGACTCGTGCCTGCTCCTGAGGGATTTCTCATGGAGTCTTCAAATAAAATAAGTTCAGATTCTGGCCTTATCATTTAAAACAAGGCGGGTCATAAAAATTACAAATAGTAACTCACTCCTGATAAGTGCAGGTGATAAATTTCTCAGAAATTTTTCGCCTTAAAGCCATTAGGATTCTGTCTTGTTAATTTGGTAGATATCAGTACATGATGTTACAAACAAAAACCTCATTAAAATTACAGTTACAGAAAAGCAAAACTCATTACTGACCATTGCAGGTGGGAAATTTCTCATAGAATCTTCTTTATAAAGCAGTTAGAATGACGTCTGGAGAATTTGGGCTACATTGGTCCATGGAAATTACAAAAAAGAGAAGGTCATTACTGATGAGTGTTTGTGACAATTTTCTCATGGAAACTTCACCAGGATTCTGACCTGATCATTTGAAACAGATGAGTTTGTGAAAATTATAAGCTAAGAACACAATTCTTTCTCTTTGTTTGTAGTTTCCTCACTGCTTTAAAAAGATTCATCGGGAAATTTCTCACTTGCAAGGGTCAGTAATGAGTTTTGCTTTTGTCTGTAATTGTAATGTTCTCTACCAAATGACCAGGACAGAATCCTAATGGCTTTTAGGTGAAGAATTCATGAGAAATATATCACCCACACTGATCAGCAATAAAATTATCTTTTTTTGTAATTTTCATGACCCGATCAATCGTATAGTCTCAGTACAGAGTCATACCCAATTTAAAATTAAAAGTCCATTATAATTTTCGCCACCAGTGCTCAGTAATGATTTTTGGTTTTGATTTTAATATTCATGAACCAATCTCTGCCAAATGATCAGGACATAATCCTATTGGGTTTTTGATTACGGTTCCAGGAGAAATTAATCACATGCACTGATCAGTAACGACTTTCTCTTTTTCTGGATTTTTTCACTAACCAATCTATCACAGAGGCTGAGAACACAATAAAAACTGGTTTAAAATTAAGGTTCTCTCAAAAATTTATCACCCACAATGTTCAGTAATGGTAAATTTCATGAACCAATCTGTTCCAAATTATAGGGACAGAGTCCTCATGGCCTTGAGATATTTGTCAATAGCACTGAGCAGTAACGAGATTTTCTTTGTTTGTAAGCTATCTGAGCTCTCCGAGCTTTCTCATTTCAACCAGTAGTTATGCTATGTTTACCTAGCTTCCAATGTGGGGCTTAAAATAGATCTTTAAATTAAAAAAACATGTCTAACAATTGTGTAACTATATCAAGTATTTTTCTCTCTAAAGAAGGACTAATCTTTTGATCTAGGGAGATGACTGAAACTGGTCATTGCAGTGCTACATTTACTGTCTATTCACTGAACTTGTACAACATCATTGCTTTGATACTTTACTATTATCCAAAAAAAATTTAACCATCAATTATCAATTATCCTCTGTTGCCCCACCTCCTGTGTCTGCTCAGTGAAGTGTCAACCCCGCCTCCTGCCGTTTGTGGCCCCATCCCCTGCTCAGGTCAGAGGCCAGAAGGCAGAGCTGGACAGGGTGGGGCGTGGTGCCAGGGATATCCGGGACAGTGGTGGTGGCAGTGAGCTGCTCTTGAGTCACGCCCTGGGGCCACCTCATTTCCAGTTTCTGTCCCCGGTTGCACTCTACAGGTGCGTGCACAAGGGCAACATAACTTCCGCTCCCCGTTCCTGGTCAGGCAGTGCCCGCTGCTCGTCTGGGCCCTGCCCCGCACCCCTGGTGCTGCCGAGCCCGGTGAGCCATGTCCAGCCCAGGTCAGGTGTGGGTCTGGGGCTCCTGGGGGACCAGCCCTAGACCCCGCAGCTGCAGCCCACCCCGCTCAGCCCCTCTGGCTGTGATGCCTCCACTGCCTGTTCCCCAGCGCCCGGGCGGGGCCCTGCTCGAGGGCACCAGGGTTGGCACCAGCCCGGCCGGACCCTCCCTGGGCCCAGCCGTGTAAAGGCCCCGGCCCAGCCCTCCGAACCCTGGGGAATCCCCGAGCACAAAGTCTGCAGCATAAACCAGTGTCCAGAGTTACCCCGAGGGCACCGAGACAAACAGCCTTCAAAGTGGTGCGGTGGAACTGGGGTCAAGTCGGGTCATCATCAGCATGACTGGCTGAGCCACTAGGCGAACTAGGCAGTCGCTTAGGGGGCCAAGTGGTTGGGGGCGCCAAAAAGCGGTGCCCTGGCTCGGCAGGGAGAGGCGAGCCCCAGCCACGGAGGAGCCGGCATGGCGCAGGGGGGCAGCATGCAAAGGCCGTGGTGCCGCCAGCAGGGAGCAGCCGCACCCCCCGCCCCTCCGGCCCAGGCTGAGGCCCGGCTTCCCCCTCCTACCCCCCGGGGCTCCTGTGGCGGATGCATGCGGGCGGTGGCCCCCGTGCGCCCCCCGGCTCCTCCCTCGCCGCGCTCGGGTTCTGCGGCTTCCGGGCTCGTGAGCCGCCGCTGCCCCAGCACGCTGCCGGGGGGGCTGTGCGCGCAGCCTCCAGGCGGAGCCAGCGTCTGACCGGCATGGCCGGGGGCAGGCCGGGGGCAGGGGGAGGGTTGGATGGGCTGGGGGTCCTGGCAGGGGTGTAGATAAGGGTTGGGGCAGCCAGGGGACAGGTGGGGGGAGAGTCCCAGGAGGACAGGTAGGGTGGGGGGTCCCAGGAGGGGACAGTCAGGGGACAAGGAGCGGGGGGTTGGGGGTTCTGAGGGGGGCAGTCGGGGGGGTGGGAAGTGGGAGGGAGTGGATGAAGGCAGGACTAGGGCAGGGCTTTCCCCCTCCCCCCGTCCTCTTTTTGGATTGTTGAAATATGGTAACCCCAGGTGAGGGGGGAGCCGGGGGGCGCACGGGGTCCGGCGTCCACATGCATCCACTGCAGCCTGCAGGAGCCCCTGGTGGGGGGCGCCAAGCTGCAGGAGGGGCGGGGGGTGCGGCTGCTCCCCACTAGTGGTGCCACCGCCTTTGCAGGGCTGCTGCCCCCCTGCACCTCGCCGGCTCCTCCATGGCTGGGGCTCGCCGCCGCCGCCAGCAGGACGCTCTGGCTCTCCCAGTGCCTCTGGAAGGCAGCTCCTCCCTGCTGCCCCCCTGCGCCTCGCCGGCTCCTCCATGGCTGGGGCTCGCCGCCGCCGCCAGCAGGACGCTCTGGCTCTCCCAGTGCCTCTGGAAGGCAGCTCCTCCCTGCTGCCCCCCTGCGCCTCGCCGGCTCCTCCATGGCTGGGGCTCGCCGCCGCCGCCAGCAGGACGCTCTGGCTCTCCCAGTGCCTCTGGAAGGCAGCTCCTCCCTGCTGCCCCCCTGCGCCTCGCCGGCTCCTCCATGGCTGGGGCTCGCCGCCGCCGCCAGCAGGACGCTCTGGCTCTCCCAGTGCCTCTGGAAGGCAGCTCCTCCCTGCTGAGCTGCTGCATTGGCCCAACCCAGCAAGGCCAGTGAGTGGACTTGGGGTGGGGGCCACTGGGGTGGGGTGGAGAGGGCTCGTAGGGGGGCTGTGCACCCTCCAGGGGGCGGGGAGGGGGGAACCTGGTCTGGGGAGCAGCCCCTGGGCACAACTGGCCCCTGGGCAGGCTGGCCCTGGGGTCTCTAAAGGCTCATTGGGATTTGCCCCTTGAACCAATGTGCGGGGGGGGAAGGGGGTTGCAAGGTGGAAGTTTCGCCTAGCTCTGCTGAGCCCCTCTGCAGGGCTTTTCCTTCACAGGAGTGTGTTGTCAGCCCTGGATTACCAACTGGGAGACAACCAGAGACCTCTTTCTAATAGCCGTTGACTTGCGGGGGGCGGGGGGGGGTTGTGATGGAGGCTTTACGGAGTAGGAAGCTACTG